AGCAACACACACACACAACACACACACACACACACGCACCACAGCAACCACATAGACGACCTGCCACACACATCACACACACCACAGTCACTGCCAACACACCCACACACACAACCACGACGTGGTAAGTTACCATGACTGTCCACCACCAGGCTTGCGGATGGCGGTGAAGCTGCCGGGTAAGTCAGGTGAGGCAGACGCTTTCCTTGACTCCGCCCAACTGAAGAGGCTGGGACACTACGGCTCAGATACCTTGAGGAGGAGGATGAGGAAGAGGAGGAGGAAGGAAGGGGAGAGAGAGAGAGGAAGACGAGGAGGCTATAAGAAATTGACAAGAGATTGAGAGGAGAGGAGAGAGAGAGAGGAGAGAACCATATTGAGTAAAAGGGAGTTAGGAAGACCAATGTAGACGGAGGAGGATGAGTAGATGAGGTAAAGGAGAGGACGAGGAAAAAGATGTGAGAGAGATGGAAGAAAGGGAAAAGAAGGAGGGAGTTGGGGGAGGAGGACCAAGAAAAACCCAATTAAGAGGAGGTAGGAGGAGGAGAGGAGAGGAAGGAGGAGGAGAGAGAGGATAAGAGAGGAGGGGAGGAGAAAGAAGGAGGAAATGAGGAGAGGGGGGGAAGAGGAGGAAGAGGAGGAGAGAGAGGAGGAGGAGAAAGAGAGAGAGAGGAGGAGGAGGGAGGAGGAGGAGGAGCCGGAGAGGAGGGGAGGAGGAGAAAGGAGAGGGAGGGCGAGGGAGGAGGAGGAGTGGCGGAAGAGAGGAGGAGGAGGGAGGAGAGAGAGGAGAAAGAAGAGGGAGGAGGAGGAAGGGAGGAGGAGAGGACGAGGAGGGGGCCGAGGACGAGAAGATTGTAGGAGAGCAGAGGAGGAGAGGAGAGAGAGGAGGAGGAGGAGGAGGAGAGAGAGAGAGTAGGAGGAGGAGGAGAGAGAATCCATGGACGAGCGTGGAGAGGATAAGAGAGGAGGAGGAGAGGGAGGAGGTATGGAGGAGAGAGAGGAAAGGAGTAGAGAGATGAGGAGTGAGGAGGAGGAGGAGGAGGGGAAGGAGGGGCACGGGAGGGGGGGGAGGAGAACGAAGAGAGGAGGAGGGGGAGGAAGCGAGGGTGAGACCGCGAGAAGGAGGAGGAGGAGGAACGGAGAATGAAGCGAGAAGCTGAGGAGGAAACGAAAGCAGAGGCGAAGGAGAGGAGAGACGGAGGAGGGAGGGAGAGAGAGTGAGGAGGAGGCAAGCGAGAGGAGAGAGAGGAGGAGGAGGAGCGAGGAGGGAAGACGCAGGAGGAGGAGGAGAAAGAGAGGAGGAGGAGGAGGAGGAGGAGGAGAGAGAGAGAGGAGATAGAGAGAGAGGAGGAGGAGGAAGGAGGAGGGGGAGGAGGGGTGAGGAGGGGAGAGGAGGGGGGGGAGGAGAGAGGGGAGGAGGAGGGGGATGGGAGCAGGCATGTCAAATATGGGAGAAGAGGAAAACACAGGAGACTTTCTCCTCCTCAGTGTCTCCAGCTGTGACCTCACCTCTGGCTCCCAGGAGTCTCTCCTGCAGCTCTGCAGCCGGACTCGTCCACCTCCTGAGCGTCGCCCCCGACCCCCTCCGGCTCGTTCACCGCCACGCCCCCACACTGATCCAGAATCAGCTGCACGGACTGAACACACACACACACACACACACACACACACACACACACACACACACACACACACACACACACACACACACACCTGTCAAACCCCCTGATGACTGACGTGTGTTTAAAACATGAAACATCATCACCACACGTCAGTCCCACCTTTCCGTCACTGATGACGTCGAGGCGATGCCAGCGCCGGTCGGTGACGGTGGATTTGGGCGGGAGCTGCAGCGTCAGCGTTCCTGATCCGTGGTTTACGCTCAGAGCTGGAACGCCGTTCCTCAACTCTGTAGGGAAACACCAGAGCGCCAGTTTCCTGTTTTACTTTTCACATTAAAACAACATGTTGCGTTGTTATTGTCACTTTCTCTGAGGCTGAAAACGTCTTTATTTTTCACTTTGAAAGACTTTTTAAATTTAAAATTCTTACTCTAGAATCTGTTCGTGGATTTGTTGACGTGTGAGACGCCGTTACAGTTTATTTTTATAGCATCTTTTAACAAGACGATACAAAGAGCTTTAACAGACATAAAAGACACAAACACAAGAAAGAAAGATATAAACAGTTCATTAGAAAATTGACCTTTGACCTTTAGATTCTTTTCTCCATTCATTTCAGAATCGATAGAAAACTGTTTTTCTTTTGTTTCTGAAAACTTTATTCATCCTTGTATTTACCTGAGGTCACATGACCGAACCTCTGACCCCGACGTCACCTCTCTGCATCCGTGTGTGTGTGTGTGTGTGTGCGCTCGACCTGATCAGCCTCATCAAGTTATCGAACATGTGAGTGATCGATGCTGCAGCCACCTTCGATCACCCCCTCCCACCTCACCACCCCACCCCCACCCCCCCCACTCGGGCTCAATGATTATATAACGTTAATGCCACAAGATTATGCAGGAAGTGTTTGAAAGGCCGTCTGCAGGCTAATCCTTTAACACCACGTCAGGACCACCGGGAGCTGACATTAGACTTTATAAAGCTGGTTGTCCACGGAGACGCTGTTGTTACAGCAGCAGACTGGTTCAGTCTTTGTGTTTGTTGAAAAGGACGAGTGGCGGCGGCGGCGGCTGCGTGCTCCAGCAGCACTGCCAGATTAGCGTGTCTGCTGGAGCGCTTAGGAGTTTCATATGTCAGAACTTTTAACTAAAGGACGCCACTGCAGCGTCCAGGAAGCTGCGTGCTAACAGTCAACTCACCTACGGCGATGAAGTCCTCCTGCTCCCCGGAGTGGGCGGGGCCGAGAGGACCGTTGTAGAGCAGCAGCCCGTTGGCCGACTCAGCCAGGAACTCCAGGGAGATGTGGCTCTGGAAGCAAGGCATGATGGGAGGGAACCAGGCGTAGCCTTGGCCGCCGAAGCTGTGTTTGGTCTGCTGGCACTCGGGGCCGTCGAACATGGGAGGACACTTACACCTGAGACACACACAGAGACACTCGTTACTTCACGCCACTGTATCTGCAGACTCTGATGATGCTGCTGGTCGTCATGACGATCTTTACACCCACTCGGTTCATCTCAAAGTTTAGTTAAGATGAGAATCGATCAGTCTATCGGTATAATATCTGTTGCAGTGGCGGCTCACATCTGAGGCCGAATGGCGTGTTTTTTATTTCCGTGGCAACGATCGAACGTTCAGGACGGAGCTGAAAACAGAGGAAGATCCATTTTTATTTTGTTTTGTTTGATGGATTAAGACATCTGTCTCCGACTCTCTTTCCTTTTACTTCTTCCTGTTTATAACCGGCTGTACATTGTAATTTTAACCTGCAATCAGACTGAGATAGTCATGGTTTTATTTTGAAATTACTTCCCCTGTGTGTCTTCATAGTTATTTTACTTCCTGTCTCTGTCCTGTTTCCCTCCTTAGTCTCTGTGCTTCCTGTTGTCTTTTTCTGTTTTACTCTGTTTGCATTCATGACTCTTTAAAAATATTATTTATATATATATTTTTTAATATAATTACATCTTTGTTCTGCCAACGACTTGTCGGCCCACTTGCGGTTCCTCCGCAGCCCACCAGAGGGCCCTGGGCCACAGGTTAGGAACCGCTGATCTATTGGTATCAGTTTCTATAGATACCACATACATGAGGTTGAATGGGTTCATCTGAAATATTGAGAATGATGCATGAGCATAAAAAACACTTGGATATTTAAAACTACTGAGGTTTTAAATCTGAATCCTCAGTAAACTCTTTATTTTCATATTATTCTCTCATATAATTGTACAAATAAACTTTCTGTCAATGTCATCTTGCTAACTGATGATCCAAAGCTTCCTCCACATTCACCACACACAGTTTAACTAACACTTTTCTATAAAACTAACTTGCAGAAGTTTTCTCTCCAGACATGAAAACATTAATTAAAATGAATTGAGAGACCGACAGACAAACACAAAGAGGAAACCTTGACAGAAAACGCTGTTAATTAAACGTAAGTATGGAGCATGTTTGCCAATGTTAATAGGCTTTTTTTATTTTTTTTATTTTTGAGAGCAGAGGAAAGAAAAAAGAGCGGGAAGGAGGGAGAACCATCTGTCAGATTCAGCAGCTGAGAAGTTTCATTTGATATTTAAACCATTAAAATGATGTGACAATTCAAAGTGGACGACTGCACGCAGCTGAGAGGAATCTTCGGAGGGTTTGAGCTCCAAGAGAAATCTACGCTCGCTCTTATTAAATCCCATAAATGTTTCATAAATTTACTAAATGTTCATCGGTTTTCAAATTGGAAATGTCTGCTGGTTTCAGATGATGCTAACAGTTTAGGATTTGACCTGCAGGCGTATAAACCATGGAGAAAAATATGGAAACAGCTGCACCAAAGCTTTAATTCTTCATTTTACCAGTTGACGGTGAAGTCATCCTATAAGCAATATATTTATCTCTAGTCACCACATACATTGCAGTGACCTCTGTCTGCACCTACCTGTATCCCAGCGGTCCGTCCTGACAGGTGCCCCCGTTGAGGCAGGGGCTGGTGGGGTAGGCGGAGCAGGGCAGGTGGATGGCTTCTCGGCCCCTGCAGCCGCACTGCGCCGTCGACGACGCCGACAGCGACACCAGCGACGTGTCGCCGGAGCTGAGAGCCACCGGGGACTGGCTGAATGAAACCTTGTTACTGCAGCCTCCAGACTGACTGCAGTCAGTGTGGGGACAGTCGTCGACGCCCACCTGAGAGATGGACACGCCCAACATGGCCTCCAGCTGGAGCAGGTAAAAAAGTCATACAGTCAAACACAAACAAGAAAGTGCAAATACAAATAAGATAAAATGTTTCTAAATCAAAGAAAAACTTGTACATAGCTGAGAATAATTAGGATAAAATTAACTGAAACAAACTGTTAGCATGAAGCTAACGAAAATAAAAAGGAAAGTCAATGAAACTAAAGTTAGGATTAAACCCAAAACTAACTGAAACTAAAACTAGCATTAAATTCGAGCTAACGTGAGCTAACTGAAATGAAAACCAATGCTAACTGAAACTAAGAGCGGGATTAAAGGTGGTAGGGTGAGGACTAACTCAAACCAGCAGAGGCTTATATGAAACTACAGGTGAAACTAAATAAAGTACTAACTTAAAACTAAAACTAGTTAAACCAGAACAAACAAGCGTCCTTAAAGTTGTGAGCTTGTTTGAACACAGAGACTTTCAGAGAGTGACAGCAGCCATCTTTGATCTAACGTCTGTCTACATCAGTGATACCTGAGTTTACTCTGTTCCCTCCTCTTCCCTCTGTGTGTCTCTGTCATTTCCCCCCCGTTAAAGTTTTGCTGTCATTTGCTTCTGTTGGCAAATTCACCCATTTCCCTGCTTGTCATCTCGACTCTTTTCTCTCGTTCTGTCTTTATGGGTGAGAGGTTTTCATCAGAGTCCCTCAGGGTTTCCTGTCTCCGCAACTGTGTGTTTTTCTTTTTTTGGAGTGTAGTTATTCAGCTGACACTCTTATCCACTGTGACTTCACACTCCCCAGGCAGGGCTTCAGTTTTCTGGCTCCGGAGCCAGTTTCAACATCGTCTTTTTCTTTTCTTTTTTAAGATACTTTTCCTTTCAACCTGAGATAATTCAAGACACAACTTTCTTCTGCAGCATTTGATGCACAAGTTATTTTAATCAGCCTGTGAGCTTTGTGCTATTATTTATATTTAACAATCTGTTTCGTTGTGATTGCGTTTTTTTTAAAGAATAAAGTGCATCACTTTATTTTATTTAGTTTTTCATGTTTGAGCATTTACATGCAGAATGATTTCAGGCCTGCAACTATTATTATTTACATTTATCAAACTATCTGTGGATATTTATCAGATAAACTGATCAATAGTTTAGAAGAGCCCAAAGTGAAGGTTCTTCTGTGTTTTGTCAGAAACTCAAAGATATTGAACTTATAAGAGTTAAAAGCAGAAAATCCACGTCTGATCTGTTAGTTTTTATAAATCAAAGTGAATCAGTTAGTAAATGTACACAGACCATAATACAAGGACGTGTAGAGGTGGGTTTGAATCCACTCAGGTGCGGCCTTCAACACCTGGAACTTACAATTAACCAAAACAACCAGAAATAAACAGGAACAAGAAACTTTTGTGCAACTTGTTTTTCTCAAGTTTCTTGATCTAAATACTGAATCCAAACTGTTTAACTGATCAGTTTAATTATTGATATGATGAATTCATTTGGGAGATTCAGATTTTTGACACTGACGTGATGCAGCTGGAATATCCCACGAGAGAAGCCTCTGCACTCTGACGGGGTCGTGCTTCTGCTCCAGCACAGACAGCACATTAACCGGCTTTAACTTGAGCCTTTTTAATCAGTAAACATGAGTTAATTAGTCACAGGTGATATAATCCTGAGACGCTGCTTCCTGACTGATACGTATACTGAGCACAGGAAGATGAAGAGTTTAATTACGTCTGTGTTTAGGTTGTTTTTTAAGAATCCAACCTGTGGAATGAGAAGGAGCATCTGCTGCAGAAGACCTCTCTCTCATTTATGTTATTTATCTGATAAAATGTTAAACAACTAAAGTTCAACGTTCATTCGTCTCTTTCCTCGTCCGTCTGTTTTTCTTTCTCGTGTCCATTGAACATGTGTAAATATAAAATTGGTTGTTTATTTCTTTCTTTACGTTTTCATTATTCCCTTCGGTCTGAGCAACAACACACCAGCACAGTGACAGCTGAGAGTTCAGATATGTGAATATGACTTTGCTCCGTGTGCGTGTGTGTGTTTAACGTGTGTGTTTAACGTGTGTGTTTAACGTGTGTTTACATGGTTCAACTTCCTCTGAAGTCAGTGAACTCAGGTCAGCAGCTGCTCTCAGGCTGTTAGTGGATCTGAAATATTCATACACATGTACATGTACATGGCATTGTGTGTGTGTGTGTGTGTGTGTGTGTGTGTGTGTGTGTGTGTGTGTGTGTGTGTGTGTGTGTTAAATGGTTAAGGGCCTGTTGAACTGCACATAACAAACGTGTGAATGTGATGTTTAATTGATTAGTAGTTAATGTAACATCAACCGTCTGAGCTGAACATGACACTTTTCCTCTGGTGTTAAACTTCGTTATTGACTTTTTTTTAAATTATTTATCTGCTTCTTTTTATCTGTTTTTTTTAAAAATCTGTATTTATGTGAATATTTCAAGCTTTTAGGAAACAGAAAAGTCGTCGATGATTTTACCTGCAAACGTCAGTGTTTTGTTTTCTGGCATTAAAACTCTGTAATATTATATAGTATATTTTATAACTAAGTTTAATAGCAAAGTAAGAATCGGAAACTTTCCACGGTCTCTCGTCACCTTGGCTTTGTTTGCCGCCACGTAGCCGTGCAGTTTCTCCGCCTTGTAGTACGGCGAGCCGTGAGCGGCGAACCACACGTTCAGTTCCTTCTCCCCCCGTCGCCCGGCGCCGCCGACCGAGAAGATCTGGACGTTTTCCGGCAAAGTCTGAAGGAGTTCAGCCAACGCTCCGCCGAGGACGGAGAACCGACTCTCCTGACCTCCACTGCTCCTGAAGAACTCCTCCACTGTCAGGTCTGAGAGAGGGGGAGGAGGAGGGTGAGGAGGGAGAGTAGGAGGGGAGGAGGAGGGGGAGGAGGAGGAGGAGGGAGGAGGAACAGGAGGAGGGGGAGGAGGAGGAAGAGGGAGAGGAAGAAGAACAGGGAGTTATTTCCCATCATGCCTTGCTAGTTGTGTTTGGTGCGGATGGAGCTGGGGGGGGGGCTGACAGCCCTGAAACCTGGACCCCTTGGCACTCTGGGATACGTATAACATTATCCCTGTCAATAACAGTTACCATGGCAACCGTTGGGGCATGCATGTGTCCTGTGTCAGTGTGTGGCGACATTTTAAAGCTTCCTCGTAGGAACAGGAAGTTAAACTATCGTCACGGCGGGACTCACTGGACAGGCGGATGGAGGCGGCGTTCTGCAGGGCGTCCTGCTGCAGCTCCGTGACATCCACCTGAGCGGTGGAGGTGACGTCGGGCCAGGCGTGGTCAGAGACGCGTACCTGCAGGTGGTAGGAGCCCGGAGGCGTCCCCTCCCTGATGCTCAGCTGACCCGAACTCTGGTTGAGTCCGAACGACCTGAGAGAAGAAGAAGAAGAAGAAGAAGAAGAAGAAGAAGAAGAAGAAGAAGAAGAAGAAGTTATATTTTATTTTTATTCCTTCTTTTGTTTTTATGTGTTTTATTATTATAATTTTATTTAATCATATTTTATTCAAACTTTTTATCAGTTTTATGTTATTTTTTTATTAATTTATGTTTTTAGTTTTAATTATTTTATTTTCTTAATGGTTTTTAATTCATGTTTCATTTTCATGTTTGTTTCATTTGTTTTATCTTTACACCGTGCACACGGCTCCTGTGGTTGTTCCATGATAACTCACATCCTGCTTCCTCCTGGAACTAAATGTGCTATAAATAAAGATTTGCTTGATTATAATACTGAAGGGAAAGTGGAGCGAGCTGAATGGAACGAGGCCAAAGGGTTGATGGGTAGGAAATGTTAATATCTGATGCTCGGTGGTAAATGTGGGTAAACTCTTCCTCAGATGGGACTCCTCCTCCTCAGATCAGACTCTGAGCAGATGGAGGTCTGCACTTGAACGTGGGTCCATGTGGGGCGGGAAAACTTCTGCGCTCTCTGCTCTGCTGCGCCAGGAAGTGGATCCCAGGCGCCGTGGCCCGGGTCCAAGCCCCGGTCCTGAGTCTGAGCCATCGGTGCTCATGTAACTGTTTAACCTCCTCGCGCCGAGTTGACCTTCAGAGCTCAGACCAGACGGATTAATTAACCGTGACTGAGTCGAGGCCAGAACACGTCCGAGATCGAACCTGCTGCTGCTGCTGGGGAGGGAGGGGGAGGGAGGGGAGGGAGGGGGGAGAAACTGTTTCCACCTTCTCCTGGATTCACGTCACGCTTTAAAGATTTCAGGCCCTGCGACGCAGCACTTCACTGACAGGAAACAAATGAGGAGATATAATGTGCCGATCAATTCCAGACAAATCACCGTCTGCTGTTTGCAGCGGGAGACGCAGGAAGCTGATCTCTTCTTCTCTTTATGCTGTTTGTCGTCCTGACTTCCTGCGAGCTGACGCGTTTGTTATCGGCCCTCTGGGGCTTCTTCATCTCACCTCCACACTTTGTACTTCTTCTTCTTCTTCTTCTTCTTCTTCTTACGTCCCTTCTCTTCTTTTCTTTTTTATCAGTTCTATATGTAAATAACAAGCAACCTGAACCTGATCCATACTGGGAACAAATTGCTCTCCGCCGGCTGACAGGATGAGGGGCGGCGGTTCAGGAGCATCTATGCTAATTCCCTCTCTGGCGGTGTCTTTGTTCTCGGCCGCCTCTCGTCGTCTCTCGTCGTCCCTCCTTGTAGGTGTCTTGTTAGAAGAGGAGGTGGCACGGAGCGCAATCAGGCTCTCCTTTCAACGCGTCCGCATGAAGCCTCGCCTCATCAAACAAAACGAGCGCGCCCTCGCTGCGCTTCACTGGGAATTTTCAATACCGCTGGTTATGAAGTATTAATAGCACTGTTCCTGACAAGTCAGATCCCTTCTCTATCTCTCTCTCCTCTGCCCTTTCATTCTCTTTCACTCTTTCTTTGTTTCTGCCTTCAAACTGCCTGTTTCTCTGTCCCAATTTTCCCTCTCTGCTCTTTTGTCGCTCGCACCTTTGTACTGTCTCCCCCTCTCTATTTTAAATCTGTCAGTTCCTGTGCAGCTCTTTTATTTCCCTCTCTTCTTCTTCTTCTTCTTCTTCTTCACGCGTCTCTTGCTGTGTGTCACATAAGAGGGGGGGACACTTTTTTTGGAGGGAATCTTTTCTGCGTTAGCTCCGACACGTCCTGAAACAGCTTCACATCTGCCATTCTCCGGAAGCTTTTATCCAGAACTACTCAGGATAATTCGCCTGATGGGAGAGCGTGTGCATTTATAGTAAAGATGGTCGACACGGCAGCGGGATTTAACCCTCCCTTTTGACTTTCATTTATCTCATGACTTCGCTGGTTTCATTTCAGTCTCACTGAAGTCTCACAGACGTGGTTTCATCATCTCTTCACGGAGATAGTTTGAGTTTTATTTGTCCAGGTTTGAGACTCGAGAGTGGCTGAAATCTTTTATATCTAAGACACAGATATAAAACTTTACATGTATTTCCCCTAGAAGATAAATAAAGTATCTATCTATTACAGTATCTTAAGCTGGACTGTGGTGCAATGAATTCTGGGTAAATTAAAACTTTGGTGCCACCACCTTATAAAGGATTTATGAATGGTTTATAACTAGTTTACTAATCATCTTGTTAACACTTCATACATCCTTTATAAGTCGTTAGAACCCATTAGATAAAAAGGACAACAGTCACCTGTTGCTTGCCAAATAGTGAGCCGACATGTGTCTGTGCTGTTCAGCCTCACATCCCATTAGTTACTGAGCTTTCTGTGTTTCCTCCGTCATCCAGCGTTTGTAGCTGCTGCTTCTTCACATATTCATATTAAGTATAATTTATATATATGTTATAATTCATGCTTTTTTAAAAATGGAGATTTTCTTTAGGATGTTAGCATTCAAGGTAGCTACAAACATTTATAACTGATGAAAGGGAGTCTTACTGTGAAGGGTAAAACCCATCAATGTTTATTAATAAATTACTACAAGGCTCCTGTTACCAGTTATTAATGGTAGTAACTCATTAATCAGATTAATTAGTAGTAAGCATTAACTTGATCTTGCCAAATAGTGAGCCTGCGTTTCTAAACACGGGAGCAAAACAATCAGCTGATCGAGTTTTAAAGAGTTTCTCCTTAAAGAATCAGCTGATTGTTCGTGTTCTCTGTCGTATTTCATCTCTTTCTACGCCTCTTCATCACTTCCTCTTCCTCTCTACTTCATTATCCACCTCGTTTTTCCCCTCAGCTGTCCATCTCACTTTGCTTCTCCTATCCACTGTTTCACCTCGTGTCCTTCAAACTCTTCCTCGCCTCTCTACTTCTTCTCCAGCTCTACTTTCACTCCCATCCCTCCCTTTCTTCACATCCTCTCACCGCTTCCACCGCATGAGATCAAAGTACCTGGTTGGCTTCCCTTCGAACCGGTACACCTTCTCGCTCCAGTCATCAAGGTCGGGGGATTGAATTTGTCCGAGCGCCGTCGTCGGGAGGATACCTGTCAAGGAGGCGGGAAATTAAAGAAAGGAATTACTTTTGAGTGCAAATGATCCCTGAGGAAGAACCCAAATATTGAGAGTGAAGGAGGGAAATGTGGAGGCTTCTTTAAGGAGATAAGGTGGCGGGCGACGCCTCATTGGCACGCACGGTCATGGTTTGACAGCACAGCAGGAAGATATGCAACATTAGTGTTTCCCCCACTCGCCCCAAAAAAAGCCGAACGCGGTGCTGTAATCTCTTTAGCCGTGAAATCAGCTGCCTTTTAAAAATGGCTCCTGTTTCTGTGCCCGTCAAACCTGGGAGTTAATTGTTTGCTTCATGGCATGTTGTTGAGGTACGTGATGGATTCATATTAGCGGGTTAATGTACTTTCATGTGGAAAGGCCCCGGAGAGGAAATCCACTAAAAATACATTACAGAAAACCTTAGTTTTTCCAGCAAATTACAGCGGGATGACAGATGGTATGAAATGCTAAATAAGTGATGTGGGCTGCAGCGAGAGGCTGCGAGCAGTCGACTGTGACAAGTACAGTCTTAACAACACGAGCGCAGAGCACTCAGGAGGTGGAGGGAGGGGACGCCGGGGGACCTGAAGGTTAGAGGAGACCGTCTGTGATCCGAGAGACACCGGTTAGAAACCCTCAGACCAGCTGGTGAACTCTAGACCGGGACCGTGAACGAGAAAATGCTCTGGAGAGCAACCACCAGGGTCCAACATCAACTTAGGAGAAAGTAGGAGGTTGTACTCGGGTCTCAGGTTCACTCGGTCTGTTCCCGGATAAATGAGGGTTAATAAGTGAAAAACAAAAATGCAAAATAAAAGTCAAATAGAAACTGATAAAAAAATTTAAAAAAATCTATGAGAGCTATTAAATTGTCTAGTGTTCAAGTTTTATCAGTGTGAAACTTTTCTCTTGCAGCAGTTCACTTTGATCCTCTGCTAAATAAGAGAGGACACAACCTGCAGTTCCTCTAATGACCACTAGAATCTGGCTCCAACAGTGAGTCAGTCCCCATAGACTCCCATGTTAAAATGTCCAACTTTACAGCAGAAATAAACATGTTTACAGCCTGGTACAAAAACTGTTTTGGTCTCTAGAGCTAATTTCCCCAATCAAACATGCTAACACTAAATGCTAAATGCTCCACTACGTTCACAAGCTAGTTACTAACTTTGCCCAGCAGCAATTTAGTGCTACACAGTTAGCGTACAGATTTCCTGTTTGTTTGCAACTTCAAATGTATATGAAAAAATAAGAAATGTTAATTTTGTTGTTTTTCCTTTTGTCTTACAAAATGACAAACAGTCCCGATAAGAGAACAGTTAAAGTGCCAGATCAATAAGTGGTATCGATAAAAGTAGTAGTACTGTTAAAATCTTAACTAAGAAATGTATGGAGCAACATGGAGGACACACAGCCCCTCCCCTTCCTACGGAACAACGTACCCTCATAACTGTAGACGATGAAGTTGGTGTGTCCTGGCGAGTGTGGGTGGTCGTTTCTGTCGCCGATGACGACCGTCAGCGTGCTGGTGGAGCTCATCGGAGGAGAGCCGCTGTCAATCATGAGGATCGGGAGGAGATACTCTTTTTGCCGCTCGCGGTCGAAGGTGCGGAGGGCTGTGACGGCAGCGCTGCCGTTCCGGAAGTCGGTCAGATTGAAGTTGGTGGCGTCCGAGGTGAGCATGAGGAGCCGTATGGAGAACGGCCCGCCGTTGGTGGAGGTGTCGCGGTCTGTTGTGTGGAGGAGGAGCGATGTTTCGTTCATTCGTACCGCCTGAGGTGCCGGCGCGTTCTCCCAAACAATGGGTTTGTAGGCGACCTCGAACTCCGGCCCGTTGTCGTTAACGTCAAGCACAGTCACCATCACGATGGCGGTTCCGGTCAAGGGCGGACTCCCGGCATCTGTGGCGTGGACCATGATCCTGTGCTGCGAGATTTTCTCCCTGTCCAGAGAATCAGCCACGACCACCCAACCAGACTGGTCCACTAGGAACTGGCTGTAGGGGTCCGACTCTTTCGAGATACTGTACGAAAAACGTCCATTTTGACCCGAGTCTAGATCAGAGGCCGTTACCTGAGCAACAATCGTCCCCACAGGTACGTCTTCGGACAAGGCGGGTGACTCATAGAACTGCGGGAAGAAGACGGGGGCGTGGTCGTTGGAGTCTTCCACCTGGACGAGGCAGTAGGCCAGACTGAAGAAATCGGCGTCCTCGGCCTTCAGGGTCAGATTGAAGGTTCTCTCGTGAGGCTTTTCAAAGTCGACCTTCTTCTTGAGCTTGACGACGCCACGTCTGTTGACTTTGTCCGTCTCCACGAAGAACTTCCTGTCCTCGTCACCTCCGACGATGCTGAAGGTTACCACGGCGTTCTCGCCCTCGTCTCCATCTGTGGCGGAAACGACGAGAACCTCGCTGTTCACCTCCAGATCCTCCGTCACCTGACACACAAAAGTACATGTTATTATTACTAATGATGATGTTGACAGGTGAGAGGTTTGTCATAGACAGGTTGACTCACCTGAGCAGTGTAGACCCTCTGAGTGAAAACAGGCGGGTGATCGTTGACATCGGAAACCATGATGGTGGCTGTCCCTGTCCCCGCCAACCCCCCTCCGTCCCTGGCCTCCACCACCACCAGATACCGGTCCTCCGCCTCCCGGTCCAGGGAGCGTAGCACCGTGTAGATGGTTCCCGTGGTGGCGTTGATGGAGAACAGGTTGAGGTTGATCTCGTTGCGGACGTTCTTGATGATGCTGTAGGTCAGCATGGCGTTCTTCCCCTCATTGGGGTCGTCCAGGTCCATGGCGCGCATCTCCATGACGGAGGTGTCGGCAGGTGAATTTTCAGGCACTTGGCCGACAAAACATCCGTCTACTTCCAGCGCCGGACACGGGAAGAAAGGCGCATTGTCGTTGACGTCTCGGACCTCCAACAGCACATCGGCGAATCCCGTGAGTCCGGCCCCTCCCTCGTCTGTGGCGAGGACGAGGAATCTCCAGGCTGGACGCTCCTCGCGGTCCAGACGCCGCTGGGCGTAGATTCTTCCGGTTCGTTCGTCGATGGTGAATTCACCGCCGGCGCCCTGACCATGGAGAGAGTAGCGAACGGCGGTTTGGTCGGCCTCCTGGTCTGGATCTGTGGCCGACACCTGCAAATAAAATGAAAATCTTTCACAACACAAACTCTTTCTACGATCCTCTCAGGTCAGCTGGTCGACGTCTGCAAACTTGTCCCAGTCAAAACTAAAAATGGAGGATCAGCATTTAGTTTGTTTTTTCTTTGCAACGCTGGAACAAACCTCCAGAAGATTTAAGACGAATATCAATTACCAGAAATATAAGATAACGTTTGGTTCAGCAACTCGGAGATTCAGAGAATTAGTTGTGGGAAGACGGCGGGGTTACTCTGGGTTACTCTGGGTTACTCGGGGCTACTACGGTAACTCGGGGTTACTTGGGGTTACTCAGGGTTAGTCTGGGTAAGTTGGGGTTACTCCAGGTTACTCTAGGTTACTCGGGGTTACTCCTGGTTACTCGGGGTTACTCGAGTTACTCGGGGTTACTCCGGGTTACTCCTGGTTACTCGGGGTTACTCGAGTTACTCGGGGTTACTCGAGTTACTCGGGGTTACTCTGGGTTACTCCTGGTTACTCGGGGTTGGAGCTGCCACCGGTGGATGTAAGCTATTTTATTACTGTCTAAAGGTCTTAATATCCTTCAAATGAAGCGGTTGTTGGAACGTCCAACAGAGTCTTAATCCCCCAAATTTCCAGGGAGGAAAGGTTTTGAACACTTTTCCCTCTACATGTGGTCGGTGACACGTCGTACAAACTTCAAACACTAAGGCCCGTCATCACTGTTTACATATAAAATCAGGTTTAAAACTCATCGTCTCTGTTGCCTTTGACTAAATCTTAAGAGCTGGATTCTGGATGACATGAATTAATGTCACACAGATCCTTGTAATCACGAGGACGCGGCTGGTATCACTTAATATAAAAATAACTCATCACTACTACAACTCTTTGGATCTGAACTGTTTCTCAGTTTTTATCTTTTCAAAACATTTTCTATCCTGTTGATGCAGGTTTTTTAATGTCTTATTCTAAATTTTCTGTGCTCCTTGGATATTCTCTGTTAGAGAAGAGACAGACTGCTTTACAGATGGGTGAACGTGGAGGTGAGTCACTACAGGTAAAGGAGCTTTTACAGTCAGAGCCAATGACCTCGTTTAAATCTCTTCTTAAAACCTGCTTTTATCGTAGAGCTTTTTCTTGATTTGTCTTAATTCAACTTAATTGTACTGACGAGGTGAATGTGTCTCCCTAATAACCTTTTACTGATCAAACTGTATTTGATTCTGTTTTTATTGTCCAGATTACTGAACTTTACTCTTATGGTTTCATTGATTTTTGATCATCTTGCTGGTGACACTACCTTTGGTTTATTTGCAGTATTATACTAATAAACTTTAATTAGTATTTTGTAATTAGCTTGTTTAAACTCTGTTGCCTTTATACGACCTCCACGTCTTCTTCTGCTGCTTCCTGTAAAGCACTTTGTAACGTGGGTTTAGAAAAGGGCTCTATAAATGAAGATTATTATTATTATTATTATGTACATTTCTGTGATATTTAAATACTTTTAAACTCTCAAAACAAACAATATGTCAAAAACAATAACACAAAACACCAACACCACTTTCTGTTGGAAATAAAACGTGTTTTATTAAATGAGGCCTGAAGTGAAACACGGTCACATTTTCAGACTTTTCACTCCAATTCAATGATATTCTGCTTCTTTTAAAGGAACTATTGCTTTTTGTTGCTTCTTATCAAAACCGTTGAATAGCTTTTTTCATTATGTACAAATGTCAAGCCCGGCAAATAGGACACGAGGCAGGGAGGTGATTGCGGCAGCTGCCCCCGCAACACGGGGGGGACTCACTCTGCAGCTCAGGAATAAACATTTCTCTGTTGCTTTTGTCCTGTTTGCTTAATTAACCTGCCTCCCTGCTATCTCTCTGAACGAGGGGACACGAGCAGCGGCGGCGGCGACACGAGCTCTCACATCTGTCATCACGACACACAATGCAATTAAAAGTTAATAGACGCCAACAAACGCAGGGAAAAGTACACTTTTACCCTTTCTTCTCCTCTTTTCTCACCAGAGGGTTTGTTTACAGAAGCCTTTGAAGTCCCCCACGCTCCTCCTGCTGCCCCCCCCCCCCCAGGCTCTTTGCATTTCCTGACAACGTGATGCAGGTAGACAATATTGAAGATGAGCAGTCACGGCGCCACAGAGGAGGCTGCCGCGCAGGTGAAGTCAAAAAATATTCATTTCAAATTGGATTTTCCCCCTCTGTTCACTATCTGCTGAATTGTATTAATGCGCGGGGAGCTGAGAGCGGCGCGCGTTCAGGGAGGGGCCGGCCGCCCCGCGCCACGAAAAACCCATTGAGAGCGTCGGAGAGGAACCGAGCGCACATCAAATCAATTCCAGCAGGCGGAGGAGAGCGGGGGCCCGGGCTGAGGACTAGGTGACACATGCCTCTCTGACGGGGATTACTTCCCCTGCCCTCTCCGACGCGCCTCCACCTTTTTTATAATCTGATTTATCTCGGCGGCACACGCATATTACTGTGAATTACCGCAGATAGGTGTGACGAAAGGCGGATGAAGGAGGTCGACTCTGACTTTTCTAAAGGCAACTTTTCAGCTCCTGCAGGGCCCTTCCCGTCAGGGCGCCTCCATCAGCTGATGTTGTGTCAAACGACGCCACACATGTGCGATGCGTTAGCGTTGGAGACACTGGATCTGTGCTGAGGTGTCGCTCCGGGCTCATTCTCCTCCTGCGTTTCAAGCGTAACCAACGCTGTTAGATTTTGCATTTAAACCTGATACAGCTCCACATACTGTTCATATGAGCATCTGACAGTTTAACAACGAGCTCTTTTCTTTAAAGGCGGAGGTGCGTTCAGGAGGTGCTGCTCTCTCGTGTGTTTAAACGATTTCATCTGGAGAGGATGGACATCTGATCGGTGCTCGGAGTGAAAGAGTTTAGATGAAGGGTCACACAGAGTAATAGAATATAATATCTTCCAGACGTGGATCGATCACAGTCAGCTGTGGGTCTGCTGTCTGGTCCTCCCTCCTCAAGCTTCATATCATAGCTTTTTGGTAAGTGTTTTAAGTTGAAGGGCCAGTCGCTGCTAACAGCGATCTCCCGCCTGCAGCAGGTCTCTGGTCCCTCAGACAGACTTTAGCTCCACCGTCTCGGGCTGCAGCTGGTGGCGGTGGTTCTGGTTCTGCTCTGGCGGAGAACTGGTTCATGTGGAGCAGAACCCAGAGCTGCGGTTAGCGGGCTAGCTGTTTATCAGTTAGCATGGCCTGTTAGCAGAGACGGAACTTTTAAAATTAAATATCTAAATATAGAATTGCGACGATTTGCTTCCAGTTTATTCTAAAAAGATTATTTTGGATGTTTGTCCACTCGGTTAAAGGAGCCAGCTTGTGACTGGAAGGTCGCCGGTTCGACCCCCAGACTGGCAGGATTAATCCAACCCTCATCAACACCACTGTGGTGCCCTTGAGCAACCCCCCCGCCCCCCATCATATGACAGAGTCCTTTAACCTTCAACACTCACTGACCTCCAGGATGAAGACCGGCAGCTGGGTGAGCTCCTCGGTCACGGCGGCGTGGTACTCGGTCTGGCTGAAGACGGGCGCCTCGTCGTTGTGGTTGACCACCTGGACCACCACCAGCGTCTCGTTCTCCCACTTCCCGTCGGAGGCGACCAGCCGCAGCTCGTAGCGCTGCTCCATCTCGTAGTCCAGCGGCTGAGCCACGAAGATGGTGCCGACCTCGGGCTCCACGTCGAAGGTGCCCATGGTGTTCCCCGAGGTGATCTGGTAGCGCAGCTTGGCGTTTGCACCTGGGCGGAGGAAGAGGAAGAAGAGGAGGAGGAGGAGTGGTGAGTTTGTGTCGACAGGTGAAGCTGGATGTCGACACCTGGACGTCTCCCGCCATCGATTGTAAGACGCCAAAATAAGGGTAAATGTCGAGCTGTCAGTCATGTGCAGCTCTTATTGTGAAAGGAAATTTTTTGAATGATATTGGAGAAGATTGAAGGAAAACAAGACACACACACACACACTCACACACACACACACACACACACACACACACACACACACACACACACACACACACACACTCACACAGAGGGATGACCCTGTGTGGACAGCAGCAGCATCTCTCTCACACTGGGGCTCATTAGATGCCTGCTCTCCTCCTCCTCCTCTTCCTCCTCCTCCTCCCCCTCTTCCTCTTCATCCTCTTCCTCCTCCCCCTCCCCCTCCTCCTCCTCTTCCTCCTCCTCCTCCTCCTCTTCCTCATCATTTCATCCCCCTCCTCCTCTTCTCCTTTTCCCCCCTCCTCCTCCTCCTCCTCCCCTCCTCCTCTCTGCTTCCTCCTCTTCCCCCCCCCCTCCTCCTCCTCCTCCTCTCCTCTTCCTCCCCTCCTCTCCTCCTCCCTCCTCTCTCCTCACACACACGGAGTCGAAAATACACAGAATCTCTACATCTCTCCTTCCTCTCCTCTCCTCTTCCCTCTTCCAATTCCCTTTTGGGTTTTTTCCCTTCCCCTCTTTCGTGGTCACCACCTCCTCCCTGCCTCTCTCTTCTCTCCCCACGTTCATCCCAATCCTTCTCCTCTTTATCTCGTTACCTTTCCTTATCTATCACCTTCTCTCCTCTCCTCTGCTCCTTCCCCCTTGCACTCTCCTCTTCCTCTTTTCTTCCTCTCCTTTTTCCTTTCCTCTTCAAACCCTGCTTGTCCTCTTGTCTCCTATAACCTTACCTGACCTCCTCTTCTTTTTCTTGCCCCATCTTTTTTCCATATTTTCACCTTGTTCTCTCTTCCTTTTATCTCCCCTTCCCTTCTCCTTTTTTCTCCTTCCCTCTCCTCCTCCTCCCTCCGTCTTTCACTCTTATCCTTCCTGTCTCCTAAACTCCTCTCTCCAGACCTCTTTAATCCTGTCGCTCACCTCCCTCCTCTCTTCGTCTCTCCTCTTCTTCAAGCATCAGTCTTTCTTTTCTTTCTTGTCACTCCCTTCCCTCCTCCATTTCTCTTTTCCTTCCCTCATCTCCTCGCTTCTTCCTTTCCTCTCCTCTTCTTTCCTCGTGAAGTGTTGAAATGTACACACACACGCACACACACGCACACACACACACACACACACACACACACACACACACACACACACAGCGGCATGTTCAGAGCCCAGAGGCAGGTCTGTCAGGGTCCGGCCTGCTCTCTGTTTACCGGCACCAAGGAGACTTTAGGAGACAAACACCATCTGTGGAGACATGGAGGACCTTCATTATGACACTGGAGAGAGAGTGTGTGTGTGTGTGTGTGTGTGTGTGAGGAAAAGCTTAAGTGCACCGGTCCGTCACAGCCTCTGAGCACGACCCATCATGACACTCACCGAGCAGCTGAGTGTGTGTGTGTGTGAGTGTGTGTGTGTGTGTGTGTGTGTGTGTGTAAATGTGCGTAAGGGGAGTAGCTCCAGCGGTTTTTGCCTCCGGCAGCCTCCCTAATGATCAGTCTGGCCATATGGTGTTGCCCTCTTACACACACACACACACACACACACACACACACACACACACACACACACACACACACACTGGGGGATAGGGCTGATTTAATTCGCAGCCTAGCAGGAGGCCCAAAATTGAGATTAAGGTCAGATCTGTGCTCCTGGAGAGGTGGACCGGAGGGGGAAGTCCTCCCTGAGCGCTGACTGCAGGTCGACACTCTGAAGGACTGGACTCATCACTGCAGAAAGTTTCATTTCGCTTTTAAAAACCGCATTAGGAAATATCACATGTTGTGGCCTCAGATGGCTGCGAGAGATACTGCAGCTTTTTGAAATTCAGGCGACCGCATTACCCAGAAACCCCGTGCGGCGATGTCATTAAAGCAGAGTGTGGTACTTTTATTCTGAAGGGAGACAAACATGAATCTCAGTTTATCTCAGGAATTTGGGGATAAATTTTTCCCAGAAATTAGAAATAATTAACACAAATTCAAGAAGAGTTAGCGCTGAACCCTGAGCAATCAGAGCAGCGGTCTGTCTTTGACCTGCGTGTGATTGGACGGGAGGATCCAGCGTGCGATTGGGAGCCAGTATCCTCGGAGAATTACGGTTATAATCTTCCTGATCTCTATGAATATGTTGGTTATCTGATCTGGACGGAGGTGGGAGAGGAAATACCTGAGATGCAGCTTCCAACAAACCAATCATCAACAACGTTTTGCATGGTCTCCCACAAGGAGCAGCAACAGGCCTGGGGGGGTGGGGGGGTGGGGGGCTGCACCTGTCTTTGATGTGGAGACCAGATCATATCCGTTTCCTGACCTGCAATCCATGTTTTCACCCCAGAGGTTCAGAACTGCACCTCAGTAAAGTCGAGGGTCTAAACTGAAACAGCAGGTTTTAGGTGAAGGTCCCAAAAAAAAGAATGGATCCTACATATCCCATAATGCAACTGGGAATCAGGAGTCGTCATCTACGCTGCAGTGTTTCTAAAAGTCTTAATTTAAGGAGTGGACACTAGTAAACATAAGAGATGCGATCTTAGACTCTGGAGGCAACAATTTATACATATATTTATACAATTTACAGATGTGCCCTGAATGCCTCACATGCAGTCAGTCGGTACATATTACAATTTACAGGTGTCCTCTAAATGCCTCACATGCAGACAATATTCAGATGTTCCCTAAACACCTCGCACGAAGACTATAAGTAGGTATTATAATATTCAGATGTTCCCTAAACGCCTCACATGCATTTAGGGGACAGGTGTTCAGGGAACGTCTGTAAATTGTAATATCTACCAATAGTCTACATGCACCAGCGGATGTTCAGGGCCCCAATGAGGGGGGGTTTGGGGCAGCGGCAGTGACTGTATAGAGTCTTTATGGGGGGGTTTATAGTTGTCATTGTGAAATGTGCCAATGTGAGGGGCCGTCAGGGGCCCCTTCTCCCCTTGAGGGCCCCAAACATTTTCCTGGTTTGCCTCTCCTGACTCTCGGTGCCTCTGTGCAGAACTTTACATTAACTATGATGGTAAATCATCATCATCATCATCATCATCATCAGCCTCTGTCTGCACAGTGACATCACACACTCACCATCCCTCATTATCACTCTGCCTCTCTGCAGCAGTAGGTATGTGTGTGTGTGTGTGTGTGTGTGTGTGTGTGTGTGTGTGTGTTTACTAAACCCTGGGGTGACACTAAACTGAAACCCCAAACTCAGGGGAAAAAAAAAAAAAAAAAAAAAAAGCCTCTTGATCTCATTACCAGACGCACTTAGTTCGGCAAATTTTCCACTCGGCGGACCGGGCAGGATCCAGAAATACGGCGGGTGACGAAAGCCGCTGCGCCTAATCAGCTTTAGGGATGGGGAGGGGGCGGGGGGAGTGGTAATCTAAACCCACCCCCCTCCACCTACCCTTCACCCCACCTTTGATTATTCCAACAAACACAGACTTAAGCCGAAGTAAACGCAGCGGTTTTATGGCGGCGCGGAGCCTTGGCGTGCGTCTGATGTCGTATTGTGTGTGTTTGTCCCGTAATTGAGTTTTTCTGACCTCTGGTTTATATGTGGACAGAAGGTCACCGGTGCTTCAACACCTGTCAGCTTCGACAACAAACTGTGGTCATAACACACACACACACACACACACACACACACACACACACACACACACACACACACACACACACACACACACACACACAAGCCAAGGTGACGCTGCAGTCGGAGAATAAAACCTTCAGCTGAGTTTACAGCTCATCACATCTCAGATTGAAGTTTTAACTCTTTGAGGAGTTTGATTCTTTCACCTTCAGACAAACACACACACACACACACACACACACGGTTGGTGAGTCTGTGTAGAGGCATGGGGACGACTCTATCCAAGAAACTTTAAATGTGTTAACAACACGAACACGATCTGACACGTCTCTCTCTCTCTCTCTCTCTCTCTCTCTCTCTCTCTCTCTCTCTCTCTCTGTGTTTTCAGTCTTTACCTCACACATTAGAAGAAAACCAGTGGCTCCATGTCGGACACCAACACACACCTGTGACCTGCACATCTGACCAAACAACAGATTTCTCACTTTGCCAGTTTCCTTTTTCTCTCACTGAACCCCTGGTGATCAGATCAGACCTGACGCTTCAGTGAGAGCTTGTGAGCGCTTGTGTCGCTAACATTAGCATTAAACAGCATCACGTCCAGTGCAACATGTTAAAACTCGCATGTTTAATTTGGTGAGCTGCGATGAAGCCGACTCACAGAAAGAACAACTGATCCGTCATTAAACATTACAGTTTAAACAAAAATATAAATAATAATGCATAAGTAAAAAACGAGTTCGTAGGTCGTCTGTGCAGCAGGTTATGACATCATAGTTACGTTTTGTTGCTAGGCGACATCTAGTGGTCGTACTAATGATGACAGAAGCAAAGGGGAAAGTGTCGGTGACACAGTATAAAGAGACAAAGGCCACGTAAGGAGGAAGTGGTGGTGGACGGATGAATGTGACACGGGAGAGCGGCGTTCGAGCTGTTTACGTTGTTACCATGACAACAACAAAGATCGTCCAATCGAGGAAGTGCTTATTATTACTGTAACCATGACATCCGATTCCGGTACGCCTGCTGCTATTCCAGGAGACGCTCCTACGCGTCGTATCAGAGGGTCAATGGTCGGTTGGAGGAGGTGTTAAATAAACAGTTATGGATTAAAATAAAATCAAGATAATAAATATAATGAAAATCAAACGAGTCATGTGACGTCTGAATCATGTGACTGATGGAGGCACCGACTGCAGGAAATGATACGTCTCATCACTCCCTGTAAAAACAAACCGTGTGTTAGAGAGAAGAAGCTGAAGAGGAGCTGAAACAACAGGTTTTGAACACGTCACTCTCTTGTTGTTGTTGTTGTTGTTGTTGTCGTGTTTGAACGTTGGAGAGAAAAAGATTTGTTTCGTGTGGATGATAAAGATTCAGAAACCACCACCCAGACCTGCTCCCCCCACAGTGCTGACTCAGCAGGGACCAGGTCTCTCCCCTCTACCTGCCTGTGAGGAAGGGTGGGGGGGTTTGAGCTAAGATGGCGGGTTCTCCAGCTCCCTCTCTGGACCCCCCAGTGGCCCGGGGTCGAGGGGTGTTTGTTAATTACCACGGGGAGTCCCAGACGAGACAGAAACTGGGGATAAAGCGTCAGCGTTTGGGAGGGAATCATCCTCAGTTTGCTATCTTAGCGTTTCTTAATCCCGTGTTCAGCGTCTTCCCAAACCTCGCAGGGATCCGTCTGACGGGAATAAACACTAAATCTAGAACAACGAGCCGCACATCACAACAAACCGAACAACATACAAGCTGATGAGAAATATACAGCAGAGCTCATCACTCTGCAGCCACACACACGTTTCATGTGCATAATCACAAACATGTCAAACAGCACCGCCGTCACTGTGTAGAGACGCAGCAGCTGTCGCCACGGTTACTGCGCACATCAAAGATGGCAGCAGCTGTCGCCTCAGCTCGGAAAGAATAAAAAATCATAAACACGCAACAAAATTTAGACTAAAAAACTTTTAGGTTTTAATCAAATGACTGAAATCTGATTGAAAGAAATAGTTGGCAACTCTTTTTCTATATATCGGATATCCCACAATGCAATGCCTGAGATTTGTACAGGTCCGTTTACTGCTCACTATGGAGTGAACGCCTGAGTCAAAGTGAGAGAATGACTTCAGATAAAGTCTGAGACTAAAACTAAATTAGAATCAAATGATTTATTATTTATTATGAGTTATTTGGAGGTCAGACTGAAAGTGAAAACACCTGTGTTGTAGTGCAGCAGGTAAAGGCTAAAGCAGGAAGTCGGTGTGTGTACTGTGATGGATGTTAACAACAGTTTGTGTTTGTTTTCCTCTCGTTTCCAACATGTCTGTCTGATTCCTTTGCACATGTGTCACTGTATTTTCAATTCTTAGCTTTATTTTTTTAAGGATGGAAGGATATCTCTTGCTTTGTTTTGTTTTCATGTCGTATCTCTTAAAGCTCCTCCAGTGTAAAGGTCTCTGTCCATGTGTAGTGTGATTATAGATCAGGTCTAGCTTCTATATTAATACTGTGAAAGTATCAAAGCCTCAGTCCACAGAGAAATGCACACAGCCTGTATTCAGAAACTGAGCCTTAAAACCAGCCGTCAGGACTTCTGGAACTTTGTGATGTCACAACAAAGCAGTCACCAAGCCCCGCCCACCTGGACCCACCATCCAAACCTTTACAGGATTTGGTTTCTCTGAGTGTTTTTACCTGAAATCTGCTTTATTTTTATTGGATCAGTCAGAAAACAGTCAGCCAATCAGAAGAGAGGCTCAGAGCCTCCTCTCTTCTGATTGGCTCACCGACCTGTTGTTACTAGAGCTCCAGAGAGAAGCCTGAGAGAGGAGATGTAAAACTACACTGAGGTGGTTTTTATATTTTCTTATGGATCAACACTTCAAATAAAACACAGACGAAGAAGAAACATGGAGCTTTAACACCAACACAATAAATCCAGCTCATTTAAAGTGACCTCATCACACTGCACGTATCTTTTTTCACTTGGTAACGAACTCTTACAAATACAGAACACAACAGAAGTGGCTAATTTAATCTGTTTATCTGGTGTGAACACAATTAGCACTCAGACTAGCCACCTTGGGATAATGATCTCACTGCTGGTGGTTTGCTCTCCTGCTGTTTACACTGATTCATTAGCATAAATCACACTACCTGCTGTAACCCTACCCGCGCTGTATGAGCCATATGATGCCAGTGAGTCATTAGCGATACTCGTTAATTTGTCTTTTATTGCCGGGTCAGACGAAGAGCCGACATAGAGAGAGAGAGAGAGACAAAGCTCTCAGAGTTTGGCCGAAGTTAGTTACTGAAGCTGCTCTTTGTTTCTATCTTTAACAAACAGAGTAAACGGCTCCATTTGGAAACCTGATCAAACTAAGGGAGAAAAGTTTGGAGGAACGAGACCACGGGAGACGAACGACGAGGGGAAGTTTGTGGGAATCTCCTGAGAGAGTCGGAAACGAATCCGAGACCAGAATATGAAGCCGAGTGTCAGACTGTGTGAACGTAGGAGGGAAGAAAAATAAAGGTTAAAGATTAAAAAAAAGGAAAATAAATAATCAGACGTCACTCTCCTCTCTGAGTAAAGAAAACCCCCGAGGCTTCGACTCGACGCCAACAGACGTCATTAAGAAAGAGAGAGAGAGAGAGAGAGAGAGAGAGAGAGAGAGAGAGAGAGAGAGAGAGAGAGAGGCTGGTTTGTTGTTGTTGTCTGACTTCTTCTTCTTTTTTTTTTTGCCTCCTGCTGCTTATTGGTTTAGAGCGGAGGAGGAAGAGGAATGAGGGACAAACACAAACAAAGAGACAAACATCAAAACTGTCAACCTCAAGGGAGCAGCAGCACTCACTAACGAGCTGTGACAGCAAGAGAAGAAGAGAGGAGGAGAGGAGGGGGGAGAGGAGGAGAAGAGAGGAGAGGAGAGGAATCTAGAGGAGAGAGGAAGGGAGGGGAAGAGACGAGAGAGGAGAGGAGGAGAGAAGATGAAAGGAACCAAGGAGAGGAAACTAGGGGAAGGGAGGAAGGGAGGGGAAGGAAGGAAAGAAGGGGAATAGAGGAAGCAGAGAGGAGAAGAGGAAAAGGGAACAAAAAGGAGGAAAGGAGGAAACAGAAAAGGAGAGGAGAGGAAACAAGACGAGGAGCAAACAGGACAGAACAGGAGGAGAGCAGAGGGACAACGAAAGGGACAAAAAAGAAAAATCTTCGTCCTCACCTTCATCCTCGTCGTTGGCGGTGACGGTGATGAGGACGAAGCCGACCTCCTTGTCCTCCTCCACGCTCACCTCGTACACCGGCTGGGCGAACGCCGGGGCGTTGTCGTTGACGTCGGTGACGAAGATCCTGACGTACGCCGTGTCTGATGGAAACGACAGAGATCAGTCAACAGATCTGAATTCAACAATCAGCTGTGTGTGTGTGTGTGTGTGTGTGTGTGTTACCTGTGTTGGGTTGTCCCTGTTGACCCGGTCGGGCCGACTCGGAGCCGTCCTGCGACTGCACCTCGATCAGGTACGAGGCTTTCTGCTCTCGGTCGAACGACGCTCGGGTGACGATGACGCCGCTGAGCGGGTCGATGCTGAAGAACTGAGAGTCCCCGCTCTCGTCCTTCAGGATCACATAGTGGATCTGAGGAGAGGAAGAGGAAGAGGAAGAGGAAGGAGAGGAAGAGGAAGGACAGGAAGAGGAGGGACAGGAAGAAGCAGAGGAAGAGGAGGGAGAGGAAGAGGAACGAGAGGAAGAGGAAGGACAGAAGGAGGAGGAAGAGGAAGAGGAGGGAGAGGAAGAGGAGGGAGAGGAAGAGGAAGGAGAGGAAGAGGAAGGAGAGGAAGAGGAAGAGAAAAGAGAGGAAGAGGAAGGAGAGGAAGAGGAAGAGATAGAAGGAGAGGAAGAGGAGGGGGAGGAAGGAGGAAGAGGAGGGAGAGGAAGAAGAACAAGAGGAAGAGGAAGGGGAGGAAGGAGGAAAAGGAAGGAGATTAAGAGGAGGGAGAGGAAGAGGAAGAGAAAGGAGAGGAAGAGCAAAGCGAAGAAGAGGGAGGAGAGGAAGAGGAAGCTGAGGCAGGAGAAGAAGCAGGAAGTAAACGAGTGATGAGTGCAGGTGTGGGTGTTTCTCACCATCCCGTGGAGACCTGAGTCCAGGTCTGTGGCCGACACCTGAGCCACCGACGTGCCGATCTCCGCTCCCTCGGGAACCGTGGCCTCGTAGGTGGACGACAGGAAGAAAGGAACGTTGTCGTTCACGTCTGGAGGACGGAAAGAAAAAAAAAGAAAAAAAGAAAAGAATAATTAAAAAAAAACATGTTATTTTTTTTCTAAATTTGTCTTTTTTGTTTCTTGTTGTTGGAGGATCTGGCAGCAGAACACAAACCGTCTCTCACGTCCATGAAAGCTGATTAAACTGGATTAAAAACTGACAGACAGAGAAAGGCAAGAAATAAACAGACAGACAAAGAGAAGGAGGGAAAGAAAGAAAGAAAGAAAGAAAGAAAGACGGAGAAAAGTTTGTGCTTTCTGCAACATTTCCACCAGTGAAGAAGATTAAAGAGTAAAGATCATCTCCAGTCTGAGAGCTGCAGTCCGTCATAACGTGGAGTTGGACTGCGTCTCCACTCGCTAAATGAAAACTGACTTATTAGTGAGGAATTATCCCCCAAACACCCTGAAGAGTCCACAAAGCAGCTTGTCAGCTCACTTTCAAGCTCCACTAAGCCAATTACAGCGTCCGATGTGGGTTTGTTCAAAGCCAATCAAAGTCAGGAAGTGTTTTCTCCTCGTTCCCTCTCTCCTCCCGCCTACAGACGCTGATTGGAAAATGAGTCACTGTTGAAAGGAGGCGGCGTGGAGCCGGCGCCACCAGCTGCTGCTGCTGCCGTCTTGTTTTTTGTTTGTTTTTTTTTTTACTACCGCAAACGAACACTTCGTTGCTCTCGTCATTTTCCAGCAGCGCCGCTCATTACAGCTGACTTCCTGTCGCTCCCTGGTCGACTCTTTCCCTCCACACAAACTCTTATCGACAACAGTGTTAAAGGCTTTTATTATTCCGACTTAGGATCACCTGACTGTACCTGTGATGTGGTATGTTCATCCATTCTCTCGAAATTTCAAAAGGCTGCCATTTTCCAAGATGGCCGCCATTTCTGGCACAGGAAAGACATATCTTACCGCAGTTTTTACCAGTTTTTTTTTGCGATTGAATCCAATGTTTTTCAAATTTCAAAATTCTTACTGTTTATTAAATATTATTTTGAATAATTAATTTGGACTAATGTGTATTAATTTAACTATAATTATTTATTGTTCACTATCATCATTATTATTATTATTATTATTATTTGTTTGATTTGACATCTGTAGATCGTTCATGTGGGAAAATTGTGCGTTCATTTATTATAAACAAATAAAAATAAAAATTGCCAGAAATGTCGGCCATCTTGAATATTTGAGTGGCTAACATGTTTTATCAGAAGAGTGTGACATCACATGTGATCCACCCTGAATCTGTTACCTTGACGACTTCTTCTGTGTGGAGTAAAGATGTAAAACTCAAATAGATCCTAACAAAGAAAGAAGAGAACACACACACACACACTCCCTCCCCCTCCCTCACCTGTCACGTTGATGTAGACGGTGGTGAAGGACGCCAGTGGCACGGCGGCGACGTTCTGCACCCGCACCCTGAGCGTGAAGAAGCGGGTCGTCTCGTAGTCGAGGTTCTCGGCCACCAGGATGGACGCCGAGCCGTCCGCCCGGTTCGGCTTGATGTAGAATCGCACCGGCATGTTGGTCTCCGGCACCTGGCCCTCCTCCAGGTTGTAGGTCACCCGGGGGTCGCCGAGCGGAGACGTCGCCTTGATGGTCTGATGGGAGGGAGAGAGAGAGAGATAGAGAGAGAGAGGGAGAGAGAGAGGGAGAGTGAGGTGGAGGGAGTTAGAGGCAATCACGCCTGTGTGTGTGTGTGTGTGTGTGTGTGTGTGTGTGTGTGTGTGTGTGTGTGTGTTTAAAGCGTCATGGCGTTTCTCAACACTTCCTGTTCGTCAGGAGCAGGGAGTGGCCGACCGACAGGAGTGTTTTTACCTGAAATCTGCTATTATTTTTATTGGATCACTCAGAAAACAGTCAGCCAATCAGAGGAGAGGCTCAGAGCCTCCTCTCTTCTGATTGGCTCTGAGAGAGGAGATGTAAAACTACACTGAGATGGTTTTTATATCTTCTGATGGATCAACACTTCAAATAAAACACAGAAGAAGAAGAAAACATGGAGTTTTATTATTACCATTAATGCTAAATGCTAAATTATCCTGATCCACCAAGGAGCTTATGTTTTCACTCGTGTCTGTTTGTCGATTTGCACCAAACCCGGTGGAGAGATGGATCACGGACCAGGGAAGAACTCATTAAAGTTTGGTGTGGATCTGATTAAAGTCACTTTTTTCTTTACATTGAGAGATTCAGACATTTTTCAACATTTTCGTCAGTTTCTGAAGAAATGTTTTTGGATCCTGATGTGAAAAGAATCAGACATATTTATGGTGCTGATCTGTGTGTTTGTACAGTTTGTATAGCTTTGGCGGAGGTATGTGCTCTACTGAGTGCCATTCTACTTCACTGTGTATTTAGGTTTGTTCAGTTAAACTAAATCATCTTTTTACAAGTTGGTGAAGAGGTGGATTGTGGCTATTAATCACTGAATGTGGAGTGATAGAAGTAAAGTGGGTCCAAACATTTGGCACCTCCTCCCTCTGTATATTCCACTCAGGCTTCAAGTGTATACAGAAGATTTTTCTCCGTTTCAGAGACGACAACAAGAATGTGAAGTGGACTCGGTCCTGGTCCGACGATGACATCACGTTCTTGATGTACGACGCCGAGCTCGTTCATTTTAACAACAGCACTGACACTCCAGCAGTTTTCAGACCCAGGAACCAAAACACTGTGCAGAAATATGACACGCCGAAATACACCACTACATTTCAAAGAGTCCGACGTCTGAACGGTCAAAGCTGCAGTTCAGTCCGGTCCGGTTCAGTCCGGTTCAGTCCAGTTCAGTCCTTCTATGGACAAGAAGCAGTGCAGAACTTTCCACGACCTAAAAAGGTTCAGTTTCTGCTTTGCTGATGTTTTTCATTGTGTCAATTTGATAGAAAATATGTGTTTGGATCTCCCTGTGTATATGTGTGTGTGTGTGTGTGTGTGTGTGTGTGTGTGTGTGTGTGTGTGTGTTGTTCTGACCTGTACATCTACCAGCAGCAGAGCTTTTAAGACTCATGTTATTCTCTTGGCAGTAGATTAAGCTGACCTTACAGACTGAGTGTGTGTTTGTGTATATATATGTGTGTGTGTGTGTGTGTGTGTGTGTGTGTGTGTGTGTAAGATAGCTTTTAAGGCTCTTGTCCTTCCTGACCACACGCTCTCAACTTCGCCAGGCAATGATTATGTTTTCTGAGGCTGAGTGATGCTGCCTCCCTTTACTGAGAATAAGAATATGACCTGTGTACGCGCACACACACACACACACACACACACACACACACACACACACACACACACACACCATATTTTCACCACAAGTGGCAACAAAAAAAAGGAAGGGATTTTAAAACAAAATCTTCAGGATTATTTGTCACTATAACACACTCCATTATTACCCACAATGCATCTGATTGTTTCAAATTTTTCATTGAGTGTGTTTTTGTTACATGACGCTGCTTCATCTACCTGTTACATCTATGGAGAGAGCTGCTTGTGTTATATCAGCACGTGGTGTGTGTGTGTGTGTGTGTGTGTGTGTGTGTGTGTGTGTGAGACAAAGAGGTGAGGTAAAAATGTCGTGATACGGAGGAATGAAACTCTCACTGATGGATTCTGAAACTTGTTGAAGTCTTAATGACCACGGCGAGCGCGAGGGACGCTCGGCCTCGATGCGTTTTCACATCGGTTTCATCATTTAACTTTATTAGAGAGCAGATCCCGCAGCCGCTCTTATTATATCCAACACTGCACACACACTCCGGATGAGTAAGGTTTAATCCCTGAGCTCACATGTGATGTGTCTGCTGCATATATTCATGCATCCGTGTCGTTAGCATGAATGAAAAGTGATAATATAACTCTGGTCTGATCTGAGAGGAATCTCCTCAGCAACTTAAAATTGGCCGTCGTGGTGTTTCATAATTTATTAAATTTTATTTTCTTTGTGCAGAAGATATGAAGATGAGATATTTAGATGGTCGCACAGGAACTCTCCGCGTTATTCTGACGCCATTTAATTCAGACTGTTGGAAGAACAGAAATGATCCAGGTCCGACCATAGATGGTAACTAAAGATGGGCGTCACCCACAGGTGTCTGAAGCTCAGAGTGAGCCTACCGTCGCCATCTTGGCAGTGTCTGACTCCGCCCCCTAACTCCCAGCTAATCCAAAAATGAGCAAAGAGGAGGGGCATGAGTGCAGCTAAGACTTCAGTGCATACGCTCACCCACCTGTCACTCAAAGAGGCCACGGCCTCAGTTACAGAAACTGAGCTTTAAAACCAGCCGTCAGGACTTCTAGAACTTTGTGATGTCACAACAAAGCAGTCACCAAACCCCGCCCACCTGGACCCACCATCCAAACCTTGCAGGGTTTGGAGTGTTTTTACCTGAAATCTGCTATATTTTTATGGGATCACTCAGAAAACAGTCAACCAATCAGAAGAGAGGCTCCTCTCCTCTGATTGGCTCACCGACCTGTTGTTACTAGAGCTCCAGAGAGAAGCCTGAGAGAGGAGATGTAAAACTACAATGAGATGGTTTTTATATCATCTGATGGATCAACACTTCAAATAAAACACAGAAGAAGAAAACATTGAGCTTTAAATGTGAAATAATTTGACATCTTAGGTCCAGGACACGGTTAGCCTAGCTTAGCACAAAGACAGGAAGCAGAGGGAAACTGTTAAAATGAAAAAAAAAAAAAAAAAATCACCTTCCAACAACTCCAGTCGTTGTGGAGGTTTCCAGCAGAGGTAACATGTTCCCTCACAGAGAAACACTGAGTGAGAAACGCTGTCGGCCACTTCCAACACCAAAACCCTCTCAGCACCCCCCCACCCCCCCTCAGCGTGTTAGGAGGCCAACCCACTCTCATGAACACGCGGGAACACAATGACACGCCAACATCAGAGTTCAGAGTAACACGACTGAATATCTTTCAGAGGGAACGTGCGTCTATGAGCTCAGTGACGCGTCCACATATTATCATCTCTCATATTCTAACAGTAATCTGGATGAGACCTGACGTCCGGTCTGCAGGTGAGAGGTTGCGTCAGGACACTCCGACCCTCCTCGGGGAAGCGGAGCACGCGGACGTGCCTCGCAGCGGGGGTGGGGGGGAGGGGGGAGGCAGCGGAGCGCGCGGAATCAAGCGCTAATGACAAATCATCTCATTAGACATCGGTGCAGCGCGCCGGAGCTGGGCCGATCGCTGTCTGCCGCCTTCTCACACACGGATTAACGCCTGCGGAGATCTCGCGGCGGGTCGCTCTCAGCTGGTGCGGCCCGGTGCCGAGTGTGAATCAGCAGCTGGGATGCAGATCGTTCTGTCAGCCTCGCATGCTAACGGTTAGCAGCCGCTTCATTAAAGGTCTAACACACGAGGAGTGTTGCTGCATTAAGGCTGCTGACTCTGATCACACTGCAGCAGCTGCAGCAGAGAGGCCTTCCCGCTGAAGGCGCTCCAGGTAACACACCTGTGATAGCAGTGCATGTTAGACACTGAAACTGAGTTGGTTTTCTTCTCTCTCTGTGTCTGATCACGTGTGGCACAGACAGTGTTTTCTTATTCAAACTGATTGATTAACCGCGAGTGGAAATGAGGCTCGTGCACATGAGAACATTTTCTCAGTGAGTGAAATTTGTGAACCATGTGAACACGCGGCTTTATCACCCTGATGGAGAGAATGCGTCTGCATATTTCTGCTTCTGTGCGTACATGTAGTTTGAGGCATGAATCCGCAGTGACTCTAGAGTCTTATCAGGGTTTCTGCAGGTTTCAACAAGTTTAAGACTTTTTAGGACCTTTATGAATGAGATTTAAGACCAATGTCACGTCCATACTGATAAAAAAAAAAATAGAAAGGTTGTAAAAGAAAATTAAAATCCTAGAATTACTTGCAAACTAAATGAATTTATTCACATTTACAAACTGTGTGAGAGAGAAAAAGGGATTAACATTTTTGCCCCCCAAAAAACATTTTGAAGTGCGATGGAAGTAGAGTTACATAAACATTAACATTTAAGACCTCGTACGTAAAACCCTGACGTTTTTAAGACCTTTCTAGGTCAATGTTTTTAAGAAGGACACCCTGTTTATACGTCAAAGTCTTTATATTGACCCATCCTCCCACCCTGACTGTCTCCCTGTTACAGCCTCCGTTACACTGCACAATACTTGTGTCTTCTCCGTTGACAGACAACAGTCACAACACACACGGCTGCTAGAGGCTCTTCTCAGTTCACAGCAGACGAACAGTAGGTTGTATGATGGATTCATTATATTTTTCTTGGTAAGATGTGATGAAATGTGGGAGATGTTACTCCTCCGCCACAGGAGGGTCCTGCCAGGATTAAAACAAATACACTATACTAATTCATCTTTAGATTATTGAAACCAATTTTAAAACTGTATTGCATCGCCGCAGGTTTTTCTGGGATTTAAAGGAAAGAAGAAGAAAATATTTTTAAAAGCCAAATGAGTTACATTTTCTTTTGTGTGTCTGTGTGACAGAGAAAACATCAACAGAAGGAGGAGGAAACAGCAGGAAGTCAGCTGATGATCAGACTATTATAACATGAAACTTATTCACATGAAAGCAGGAGATGACTGCACACACACACACACAGACACACGCACACACACGCACACACACACACCCTCTACCTCGTTAACAATGTAATTAACAGACCTTATTAACGCTGCTAAATTTAAAACAACAGTTCCTCCTCAGTGCAATTAACACAGTGGAGGAGAGGGAGGAGGGAGGAGGAAGAAGAGGAGGAGAGGGAGGAGGAAGAAGAGGGGGAGAGGGAGGACACATTACTGCCATTTTGAATGATTTGTGTAGGTCGTCTGTTTGGAGAAGTGTCACATGTTCATCCACAACGTCCACAGGTGACTAAACTGAACATATTAAACATGTTTCTCTGCTTCCTGCAGTTTTAACTAAAACAAACTGGAGGAACTAGTGAATTTGTGTGGGACTATTTTTGGTGGCGGATTAATCCACATTCGGTGCTCTCCTGAGTATTTGAGGCAGCAGGACGGTGTGTGTGGGACTGAGGCTAAATAAACTACAGTGTGTGTGTGTGTGTTCATGGTGATGAAGTAAACATGTCAGTGTCACGATTCTGCACATGAAGAAGAAAATTAACTGTTTTATTCTCGTTATTCACCAAAACTTGGAAAAATATTTCACACTTCACCAAATTCATCTCTAATGATCGCCAGAGTCTCGTTAACTGCTGACACTCATACTGATTAACAAACACAATCTCTCCTACATCGGACTCCCCCTCCTCCCACTGTCTCTCCCTCCCTCCCTCCCTCCCTCCTGCAGCCTCTGTCAGGTTAAACACAGTAATCAAGTGTCTGTTTTTCGGAGGTGATGAGAGTCCATTGTGACGCCCTGACAGCAGGTGTAATTATCTCTCTCTCCTGTCAATCACCTCTGACAGAACGAGCTGTGGGCGTGACAACCTCCAATCATCATCATCATCATCAGCATCATCAGCATCATCATCATCATTGTTATCGTCGTCATCATTTTCAGTCTTTTCCGCAATAATGTGGGGTCGTAAAGGAGGAGGAGGGAAAGATTAAATACAGCAGCAGGTTCACACATGTAAACACACACCAGCTTACACAGGATTACACACACACACACACACACACACACACACACACACACACCCACATACACACCCTACAACTGTTAGAAAACTGACTAACCTCCATGAAATCGAGCAGCTGGAGGGTAAAAACTCCTCCACCTTCTAAACCAGCGGCTTAGGAAAAGAGAGCAAATTAGGATGGGGGGATCAAAAGAGAGAAAAAGCACCAGAGGTATAGAGGCAATCCCTGTGTGTGTGTGTGTGTGTGTGTGTGTGTGTGTGTGTGTGTGTGTGTGTGTGTGTGTGTGTGTGTTGGTTGGAGCCAGTCAGGTGAGACAGACTCTGGTGGCAGGATTGTTGTTTGCTCGGCAGAAAATGTTTGGAAGCACTCGGCTAAACGTGCTGACACAGAGAGAGAGAGAGAGAGAGAGAGAGGGATGGAGGAGAAGAAGAAGAAGAAGAAGAAAGAGTGTTTCCAGACTCCTTGGGGTGCTCTGTGTAGAAGTGAAGAGAGGATGTAAACGAAGGAGAAGAAGGAGGTCTGGCTCTAAATATTCCTCTCTTTACGTGTCCTCTCTCGCCCGTGTCACATGTGGCCTTTTCACATCTTAGAGCTACTTATAATGATCAGAAGAAGAAGAAGTGTGAGCCTCAGCTTCCTGATTAGCAACTTTTCATGCAACCTACATTATCCTGCAGCACGGTAAAGAGGTCGCAGCAGCAGCTGTGAACAACGTGTCATTAATCAAGCTCAGTGCATTTTAAATTTTTAAGTTTTCTGCATAGTTACCAAAACAACTCCTTTGTGTTGCTATGGAATATATTTCTTTATAAAAAATTGTTTTTGTTTTGGCAAAATAAACCAAATATATGACATGAATCAGTAGTGAATATACGGCAGGTGTACGACACTGGGTGACGTGAGAGAGATCCTAGAATGAAACACAAGAAAATGAAAAAGGTCCAAATTGAAGCAGATATTCAGACTTTTAGTTGCTGTAATGGATCCTACATTTCCCATAATGCAATTCAATAGTCTTTCATCAGGGAACCAGAAGCTGCAGTTCCTCTAACAACCACTAGAGTCTGGCTCCAACAGTGAGTCAGTCCCCATAGACTCCCATGTTCAAATGTCCAACTTTACAGCAGAAATAAACATGTTTACAGCCTGGTACAAAAACTGTTTTGGTCTCTAGAGATAATTTCCTCCTTCATGACACCTGTTTATATAACTCACCTGTTTACATTTTATTAAGGACTAAAGTTATGGAGGATTGAGGGCGTGGCCTCTTTGAGTGACAGGTGGATGAGCGTATGCTTGACACAAACTTGACACACGCCCCTCCTCTCTAATTTTTCAATCATCCTGGAGGTAGGCGGAGTCAGACGCTGACTCGCTCTCACTGGAGACGCTTTCCTCTCACTCACCACGATCTTGGCGTCTCGGACGGTGTTCTCCGGGACGGTGACCCAGTACTCGGGCTGCTCCCAGTGCGGCGGTTGGTTGTGGACATTGGTGATGATGACGGTCAGCTCCACGGAGCTGCTGCGGTTCCCTCCGTCTGAGGCCACGATCTGCTGGTTGATCCTGGACGTCTGCAGGGAAGGACAACATGTCATCTAACAAACTGCAGCTGAGTGTTCATTCAGAGCTGCTGGTTCAGACCTTTGAATCACAAACTGTAATCCTGCAGAGAAGATCTGTCCAGAGATGTTTCATCGCTTTAATAACACTGCAGGAGCGATTTTAAAGACAGGATTTTCTTTATTCTTAAAGTTTGCTTCTAAAACTTAGTGGACTTGTTACTTATCATTTTATCATGTCTTTTGTCATCGAATTATAATGACCATGTGGTTATTTGAGAACTTTAAAAGGACGGGCTTTTAAACATTTGTAAATCAAATAAATATTCGAGCAGAGAGAAAAAGAAAAATGTTAAAATGTTGATCTTGTGGTTTGTTCATAAAAAGCAAATACAGGGGGGGGGGGGGGGGCTGCCATTTTTAAATAATTGACTGAAGTGGCATTTAAAAGAATCAGTGGCAGTGAGAGGCAAAGAAGAAGAACAGAGAGACGTCGACAGTCACAGAAGAAGAAGAACAGTCAGAGAAAGATTTTGAATTTTCAGTTTGACTTTGTACAAAGACGAAAACACACAGAGGATCATCAAACTTTTAACACAACAGTCTGTTTGATGCAATTTTTATGCTTCTCACAGTGGAAACAACACAACAGCTGCTGCCACTGGAAATATGACCTCGACCTCGTGACCTCTGACCTCATGACCCTGTGACTGTGCTGTCATTATCTGCACAAGTGCATCAGATCATTTATCATTTATCATTCAGTGCATGCATAAATATCACTTTACTGCACATGTGAGCGCATCAGCTGGGTGAACACTCTCCCCACTTTACTGTACATGCACAGTATATTAGGTTAAGTATATTTAATCCAAAAACTTTGGCTTATTAGTGTCAAATTTTCAAACTAAACTCGTTTTTTACCTTTTAGTAAGTATGTCCATGTGGGCAGAGGTGGAAAATAACTAAGTAACTACACAACTACTATATATAAATACAGATTTGAGCTACTTGTGCTACGTCACTATATCTGAGGTATTAATTACTTAATTAAACTTATTAATTAGTTCACTCCCTGAGATTAGCCTATGTAAAATTGTTAAAATTAGCTTAATCTTGATAAACTACAGCAGTTCAAAGCTACTTAATACTGTACATACATTTATTAATCCAATAATCACGGCCGCCAATTTTCCAAATTAAAGGAGCTATATTTAATTTTTTTATTGCTACATAGCTAACGTTAGCATTAACAGCAGTTTTAATTACCAGTATTGCAAAGAGCTTAAGCAATAGTTGTGTTTACAATACAAAAGGTTATAAAACGTCCTCTGAGCAGCTACATCTTCAGGACAGAATGAACTGACTCGGTATTGGAAAGTGACGAGACTCTTAGCTAGCTAGCAGCTAGCTGTTTAGCATGCCAACTTCACCTCTTCCACCTCTGGAGACAGCTGTTGGTAGGTAAAGAAATTAAGTCTCAGTGTTTCCTCTAGGCTGGTAAGTACACAGCTGCTAATGCTAACATAGGCTAACGTTGGCTATGAAGCAACAGGAAAACTTACATACAGCTCCTTTAACTTTTTTCACTTTTGATACTTAAAGTACATTTTGTTGATACTTTTACTTAAGTTACACAGCATTGTAGGGCTTTCATTTGTAATGGAGTGTTTTCACAGTATAGCAGTGTTTATTTTACTTAAGTAAATAATCTGAATACTTCCTCCTCTGCTGCAAACAGGCTGAGTTTCAACCAAAAAAGAACAATGCTGAAAGGAGGTGAAGTCCATGGCCTGATTTTCCAGCAAGACAATGGAAAGATGAGAGAAGCAAAATAATTTGGACCAAAACTCAGTGAGTTCAGTGGAAAAGCCAATTCTGCACAGAACTGAGTCCAAGAACAGGAAGACCTGAGCAGCTTCCTGTCATCTGAGGGGAAAAAACACTGGCAGAGAGCAGTGGAAAAAAGTTTAAAAACAACTTCAGTCGTATCTAACACATTAATTTTTAAAGCAGAGCAACATATTTAATGAACTAAATGTAAACCACCACCACAAACCAGGACATACAGCCTGTTCTCTATCTGTCCCAGTCCATCATCAGCTCCATCAACCCTTCATCCAGGAGGAACTCAACATTAATGTTTCACTGAGGTGGTGCAACCTCCACCTCTGTCTGTCTACATCCCTTCATCCATTTCTCTCCGGCTCTTCCTCTGACTTTCTTTTGACTTTGTGGAATAAAATCTTCTACAATACAATCAAGAGGACTGAAACCACAACCTGATATTTACATGAATGTTTTGGAGACACTGAAACAAATTCTTCCATTGTTATTCGTGCTACTGTTAAGTTAAAACAATTTTGAATTCAACACATAAAAACATTCAGTAGTCAGTAACAGTAGCTAACTATCTAGCTTGTTTAATACACTTTACTTTCTTATCTTCAGAGTTTCCAAATTAGACTGTGTCACGTCTCAACAGATGAATGCTAATGTTAGCTGGTTTCTCACTTTAGCCCTAGGTTACAGTTTAGCTAGCTGATGTTAGCTAGCTGATCGCACACCCTTTCATTTACAGTGTTAGCTTGTCATTTCATTACCGATATAAAATATTATATATGATCTAATGTTAGCAAACACTGGTGAATGGAGGATTAGTTGTTGTAGAGATACATTTTGACATTAATATAGAGTTTATCATTTTATTTGGTGTGGTGGTTTAGTTAGTTTTTTACCTTTAACTTTAGTTTTTATAACAGACACCCTCTTTCATTGTATAGTTTGCACTCAACAATATTTCAGTTTCAATGAAAAGACACCATAACTAAAGGTGCACGATAAAATAAACAAAATCATTGACTAAATCTTCTTAAAAGGGACTTCTACTAGTAAAACAGGGGATGATCTTTTTGTCTGAACTTGTCTAAATATAAAATAACGTAGACACTTCTTCCAGCCACAGGACCTGTAGATCGACCTCCTCTGTCTGTCTCCTTCTGTCTCTGTATATTTCTTCATCACTTCTCTCCCTGGTGTCATCTCTCTGTTTCCATTATTACTTGCAAACACGTCGTACAGACATGGCACAACAGAAATGAAATGGAGACCGTAGGGGGAAAAAAAAAGATGAATGATAGGAAAGAAGTTTTAGCATGAAGCCATGAAGCCCAGAGCTACACACACATACACTCACACAGCACATCCTGTGAACATACTGTACGCAAAAATACACAAAAACTCACCTAAAGCTACAAGAACATACACACACCAACACTCAGAGCTCCCTCAGTGGATGAATACCAAACATGTTAGCTGTTATTAAACAGCACTGCTCTCTGCCTCCATGTTTATTTATGTATCGAGATTTTATCAACGGAGCGACATGAGAATTGAGACAGGCAAGAATATATTACGTGTGTGTGTGTGTGTGTGTGTGTGTATGTGTGTGTTCTTGTGCTTCTGTCTTTGTGAGGACCGCATTTGTGTTTTAGACCTTGAGAATTTATTTAGAACGTGGGGATGTTTTTTTTTTCTTTTTTTTTTTGGAAATGTTTTTGAAACCTGGATGTTTTGGAAAATGAGGACATTTTTTGGAAAGTATGGACGTTTTTATTAAAGTGACAACATATCAGAGAAGTGAGGACGTTTTAAAGTGAAGATATTTTTTGTTTCTTTACTTGATTACACTCAGTTTGCATCCAGACATCATCATCTGCACATCATCATCAGGATCACAGCTGGATTCTGGGTAGGATCCAGATGTTGCTGGGGCGTGAAGAGGTTGTGTTTCTTACCTGTGAGATGGGGTGGTTGACGTAAATCCAGCCAGTGCTGGGGTTGATGTGCAGGTATGCTGGCTTCTGATTGGACAGCGAGTATGTGATGGCCGCATTGCTCCCCTGGTCGTCATCGTGTGCCGCCGCTCGGAGGAAACTAGTCCCTACTGGAGTGTCCTCCCGAAGGAAATCTGGGAGGGAAGAGAGACAGTCAAACAGAGGCTGAAATATCACTGGTACTACTGGTACTGCTAGTACTTCTGCTACCGCTACATTACCACTGCTAGTACTTCTGCTACTACTGCTACCGCTACATTACCACTGCTAACAGATATAATCAGATATAAACAGCGTCCACCCTCAGCAGCTGTAGCTAACATCACGTCCTGACGGAGGCTTGAATCCTGATTTCCATTAAACTCGACTGAACACGGGACAACATCATGTTCTGTGATGGTAAGCAGATATTATAATAATGGTAACGCAGCGTTGTGTCGTGTCAGCACCGTGTCACCTCATTTTGTCATTTCTCAGTCTCACACTGCAAAGTCAACAGATGCGTTTTTAAATTTATGAATATAACCTCCAATCCTGCTGACTGTGATGTGTGTCAGCGCCGATCTCAAAACACCAACAAGGAGCAGGGAGGAGGTCTGCCGCCGCATTTCCCTCCATAATACTGCATTTCAAGCATTATGTCAATAATAATGTCTCTGTGACATCTGGATACGTTTCATCTGAAGACTCACGTCAGATCCTGCTGAGTTTAATGTGTGTCACAGAGAAACAACCACGAGAAGCAAACACAGGATTTTCCTGCCTCCTTTGGTTTATATCTACAAATAAGACAGTCTGGAAGATGGATAATGCTGCATTTTATTTCTTTTGTGGATGAAACAAAATCTTGTTCTTTATTAAAAATTGCTGTTTTCCCAAAGAGCTTTTGTTGATCTGAAAGGAAAACTATGGTTCATAATTCTTAAAATTCAAAAAAGAAACTCTGAGCAATTTGTTAAATGAAAAGTTAATCAGAATTAAACCCATTGTGTTTATTATGTAAGATTTTAGCCTTTCATCATAGTGCCCTCATTAATTATATGGTTTAAATACAAGATTCATAGTGGATAATCTAAGGGAACATGATACATAAACAGTAATGATATAAAATCTATTTATCCGATCAGTCTATCTACTGGATGTGGTCTCCTCATATCTATCTATCTATCTATCTATCTATCTATCGACCTTTACTTCGGATTTTTCGAAACAAATCTTTCAAACTCTGTCCTGTGACCTGTGAAAATGGAAAGTCTGAATCTAATTCATCACGTTTTTCACTGGAGCAGCAGTAACGGAGGGAAGTTAGCAAATAAAAGTTATTCAGGAAACAGTCGTTTCAATGGAATTTGATTCTAATATTGATTCTAATGTATGTTGATCGAGGCCGTAAGATAAACAACGCGCAGAGTTTCCAGATCACTTCCTCCGTTTGTGCAGGAAAACCCCCGAAACACACACACACACACACACACACACACACACACACACACACACACACACACACACACACACACTGGTAAATGAATGCATGTCCCAGAAACATTCCAATCTGCCTGTTAAATAGTTAATGAGCCACTCTGTGTGTTTCTCTAATCTGACGAGGAGAACTTCTGACACGACGCTTATCAAAACATATTTGCACACATAGTAAACAAACAGGGACCCCCGGGAGCCAGCGGCGAATATTTCATCAGTATTAAGTGCTTTCCAGGATTACAAGGATGCAGATTGATAGATGGTGACAAACAAACACTTTCCTCACCTGTTTCCTTTCCAAACTCTGGTTTACCTTGAAACGCACACAGGAGGATTTCGTGTGGCACGGTGAGAGACACAGATGTTAGTGTGGGCGACTCCACAGGGAGAGACACCTTTTAACCCAGAGTGTGTCACTGACTTGTTTCACACGTTCACATACACAAGATGGAAGGAAAAAAAAAAAACAAAAAAAAAAAACATCCAACTCCTGACAGGAGCAGAGCAGCAGAGGTGCAACAGCTAACACTGCTGCTGGACTGTTTCTAATGTCAGGAGAGAAGGCAGCAGCAGAGGAAGCAGTGATAAAAGCAGTGGCAGTTTCAGTCACTGCAGTAACAGCAGTAACTCCAGAAACAGTAGAAATGGTAGCAGTAGTAGATCAGTGGTGACAGATGTAGAAGTAGCAGTAACAGTAACAATAGTAGTAGTATTACTAATAGTAGTACTGGAAGTCAGGGCTTCGGCGATTCCAACGTGTTGCCATAGTCGGGAAATTTAAAGATCGCTAAGCAACATTTAACGCTAACAACGGCTACTTCACTACTTCAGGAAACAGCGTGTTCGCTCTGAACGTCGCTACAATCCGTCTCTTAGAAAGACCCAGAGCTCTTGATATTTGGTTTAGAGACAATTAAATATCGAATGAGGAGTTTGTATAAATCCGTTTGTTACTTCAGCACCACGGACAGCGTCATAGTCAGCATCCCCTCCCCCCAAATCACTGACATGATTCTGAATAAACTGGGAAAATCAGTCACGTTATCAGGTATCTTTAACACATATACTAATAATCCATCAAACTAACAGCGGTATTATTGAATGTAAACGAAATGACAAAAAAATATAATTCCCGTCTAACTCTTTAGAGTATCACAGGGTTCGTCAAACAGAAGTCGACACTTGCAGTGGTAGTATTAGTAGTAGCCACAGTAATCTTAGCAGTATCTGACTGACACACTGACAGCTGTAGTAGTGATGGTAGTAATGTATCAGTATTAAGCAGACACTCACACTGGTAGTAACAGTAACAGTAGTAACAGTCGTAGTAGTACTGATAGCAGTGACAGTAGTAGTAGTAGTAGTAGTATCAGTAACAGTAGTAGTAGTATTGGTAGTAACAGTAACAGTTGTCATAGTAACTCACACTGGTAGCGGCTGTTTTCGAACTTGGGGTCGTTGTCGTTGCGGTCGGCGATGAGCACGGTGATCTGACAGATCCCGATCAGCGGCTCCTCGGCCTGATCGGTGGCCGTCACTGACAGCGTGAACTCCCTCTGACGCTCGCGGTCGAAACTCACCGCCGTGGTGATCACACCTGACAAACACAGATACCACGTTACCACGGCTACGGTTACTCCTGACACTTCTGTTCATTGGCAGATTTTTGTGCAATGAGATTTTATAAAGGACAAAATTATACCTGAAAACTGAAACTGCTTTTTTAAAATTAAATTTAGGTGAAATTTAATTTTTGTTTTTTGGTGTATTTCAACATCTACTTTCACTTTTCCAAAATGCCACATAGCGTTAATGTGTTACTGTGGAACTCACCGGTGTTAGGGTCGATGTCAAACCCAGACGACACCCCGTCTCTGTGCATGATGCCGTATTTGACCTCTCCATTGACCCCCATGTCGGCGTCGTGGGCCTGGACGCGCAGGACAAACGTCCCTGGCGGCTGGTTCTCCAGGACGGCGGCGTTCAGACTGTAGTTCTGACACTGAGAGGACAGAAGAGACAGATGAGAGTCCGGGCCACACTGAACCAACGTGGACAAGACGAAGAACGACGAAAAAACGTAAACGCTTCAGTCACCTCCTGGAAGACTGGTTTGTTGTTGTTGATGTCGTTGATTCCCACAATGACCTGCGTGGAGCTGCTGAGCGGGTACGGTCCACCGGACGCGTTATCGTCCGTGGCGGTGATGTTGAGGACGTACTGAGGGCCCCTCAGCCTCGGAGGTGGACTCCGCCGCAGCTTGATGATACCTACACACACAGACTCTGTTAGTGCCTTCACCTGCGTCTCTCTTTACCTTTTCCCAACATGTGGCACATCTGCACATATAGAGATATTTAATAGAAGTCTGGTATCGTTTGCGGAGGCTCGTGGTTACACAGCATTTTTTCCAAAGGAGTACACAACTTTAAATTACTTTTATGTTCACAGGCATCCAAAAGTTCCCGCTGCCAGAGGACAGTGTGGACTTCACAGTAAACAGACTCGGCTCGTAGAGAGTAAAGAGAAAACGAGAAAAACACCCGAGAGCTGCTGATCACGCTCAAAGTCATGAGTAACTCACTGGGGGACGAGGGGGGGGGGGGCTGAGGATTAGAAATAACTGAATTTATTTATTTAGGGCTCCATATTTTTTCTCTTTTTCTGTGTTTTATTTTGAAGTGTTGATCCATAAGAAGATATATCTGTAGTTTTAAGAACCAAAAACCATCTCAGTGTAGTTTCAGTTTCTCTCAGGCTTCTCCTTTACTTTATTTTTTGCTGGATTACTACATTTTATAAAGCAAGATGACTAAGACCCTGTTCTGAGTGTCTTTATGTATTGAAATTGTCTTAATGTATATATATTATGTTTCAAAGTGGT